TTAGGAAGTTGTGATTTGGGGTTTAGGAAGATGTAGAGGTATAAGTTATGGAATTTCGGTTTTAGGGTTGGTGGTTTCGAATTTTAGGGATATACAAACTTTTCCTCGTAAAATCCTAGTGAGATGAAAACAAGGGACTTGTTTTTTCCTCGTAAAGTCCACGTAAGCCATTTTTCTCGTAAAATCCACGTAAGGCTATTTCCTCGTAAAGTCCACGTAAGCATTTTCCTCGTAAAACCCTCGTGAGGTGAAAACGCAGGACTTGTTATTTCTTCGTAATATCCACGTAATGATTTTCCTCGTAAAGTCCTCGTGAGGTGACACGAGACTCGTTGTTTCCTCGTAAATGAAAACACGGGACTTGTTATTTCCTTGTAATTTAACTAGGATTTTACGAGGAAACCAAAATCCCTATATAAGTCGAAGCAATCCGATTTCTCTAATTCGTAGTTATCTCCTCTCATATTCCTCTTAAGGTAATAGTTAGGGAATTTAGATTAGGTGGTTAGTTAGGTTTTAGGGTTTAGGGTTTAGGGAATTTAGATTAGGTGGTTAGTTTTAGGGAATTTAGATTATGTTGTTTTGTTTTGAGAATTTATATTATGTTTTTTTTAATGTTACTAATATATTTATGTTTTTTTAAATGTTTAAATGTTTTAGATGACTAGAGCGCAAAAGCTTAAGGGTAAGCAGCGGCCGCCAGTCGGATCATCTTCTTCAGGTCCTCATACAGGCGGGACTCACTACGGGGACATGTTTGGCCGTGAGCCAGGTCATCATACAGGCAGATAATATTCTTTAGCAACAGGTTCTTCGATTCCGGAGAGTGTTCCCGAGTCTCAGTTTTCGCCACCCGTCCCCCCGTTTGCTGCACTACCAAGACATCATCATATTCAAGAGGAGGTACTTCCTCCTCATCCTCCTCCTCCTGTGGCCGGGGTTCATTCTGATTTGCAAGTGCCGTCAGATGCTCTGTATGCTATGTACACCATTGAGGATCTTCTTGCTCAGTCAGGCAGAAAGGTTTACCGGTCTTAGATCCCGACCGACCGGACAACACTTACTGGTATGTTTCATTTTTAATTTTTTATTTATTTATAACAAATATTAATTTACAAATTTAATACTTTTAGTTTCTTTTTTGTTCTGGTTTAGGGTTGACAATTGTGTCGCTCGAAGCGTCACCGACTGTATCAAAGACTACTTCCCGATGCAGCTCCAAACTGGAAAATGACGCCTTTCCACACTAGAAAGACGTGGTTCAAAATGTTCACTGTAAGTGATTAATAAAAAGTTTAAATTATTTATATTTTTTATATTATTGGACTAATTATTAATCTAATATTTTTTTTGGTTACAGCAAGAATGGCGTTGGTCCATAGGAGTGAACGAGCGGGTGAAGCGCGAGTTTGTGCAGAAGGTGAAAGCACGATTGCTCGACATGGTCTCCAGCTGAAAGGAAGATTATGAGGTGGATGGTTATGAGAAGGGTAAACCCTCTTGCCTCACATATTTGGTGTGGGATGAACTCATCCATTATTGGAACAAGCCAGAGTCGATCAAAACCTCCAACAACAGCTCCCTAACCGTTTGACCAAAGATGAAAATGGCAACACGAAGATGCTCCACAGTTCATGTCAAAAACCTCATGCCGGAGTTCGTCTAGAGATGGTAAATTTTTAATAACTAATTTTTTAAGATATATATATATATAAATTTTTTAATTAATTTTTAAAAATATTTTTAGGCTAAAGAGACAGGAGTTCTTCCATCTCTCAAGGAGCTCTACGAGAGGACCCACAAGAACAAGGCTGGGCAATTTGTAGATCATCGGTCTGAGTGAATCTACAACGAGGTTATTTCTCGGGTTGAGGAGCACCAAATCCAGCTGAGTCAGCAGTCTCCCGATGGAACACCCGTCGTATTATCCACACCTGACGTGGATCGGATTTTCAAGGAGGTAAGTTTGTTTTCTTATTATTATTATTAATTTAATTTATGTTTTTTTCATTAACTAACATTAATCTTTTATTTACAGGTCGTCCCTAAGAAAAATGGACGTATTGTGGGGATTGGTTCCGTTAATGATGTCCCAAGAGCGACATCGTCTTATGCTCAGGAACGGGACAATGAGACTTCTCAGCTGCGTTCGGAGTTGCAGGCGACGCGTTCTGAATTGAGCATGACGCAAGCTCAAATGGATTCGCTCGAAGGTTTTATGGACCTTCTTGCGGCTGGAAATCCGCAATTGGAGATGATGTTGCGTACCAGGCGGGAACAACTACAGATTCCACACCCACCTCCACAGCCACAGCCACAGCCACAGCCAACCTTCCAGGAGGAGGACGACAAGGTAGAGAGGAGTGACGACTTCATCCGCCAGTTTCACGAGCAACACCCGTAGTTTTTTTTTTCTTTTTATTGTATTATAAATTATAAACTTAAATATTTATGCATATATTACTTTTCTTCTTTTATTCTAATTTTTAATTTTAAATTTTTTAAAAATAATTTATTTATATATTTTGATTCTTATTTCTAATTTAGGAAAAATAAGGTTTTCAAGTAAATTCCTCGTAAACCTACAAGGATTTTATGAGGAAATGTTTACGTGGCAGTAACGAGGAAAAGCTTTACGAGGCTCTTACGAGGAAACCTTACGTGACTTTAACGAGGAAATACTTATGTGGACTTTACTAGGAAAAGCTTACATGGCTTTAATGAGGAAAACTCTACGAAACTTTTACAAGGAAATGCTTTAGACGACTTTACGAAGAAACCTTTCCTCGTCAATTAACGAGGAAAAAACGAAGAAAGTTGAGTTACGACAAACGTGTCACGACGAAATACATTTCCTCATTATTTTCTCGTAAACCCTATTTTACGAAGAACTAACTAGGAAAAACCGTCCTAGCTTTATTTGTGTTTTCTTGTAGTGATTGTATAGTTGTCGTAAATGTTAATTCTTTGTATGTTATACTTTCAACAATAATGTAACTCGTTCATTTAGAAATAAATAGACTTTGTGACAAATGTGTGTCTTTTAGTTAAAATAATTAGATTTATGAAAAGCATACGTCATGTATTTAACTAAAAGAAAATCGTATAATATTAAGGAATATTACTTTCTTTAGTTAAAATAAACAATATTAATATTAAATTTTTAAAACAAGTGGCATGATTGTATTATTGTTAGAACAGAAGGACACTTAAATAAATTCTTCTATTTAATAGAAAAAGATGGTAAATAATGTAAAGAAGTGGAAAATTCCATAGAATTAGGAGATGGTTATTTGCGATTTATTTTTTAAAAAATATTTAAAGAAAATTATAGTTTAAAGTTAATTTAAAAGGAAGAAAACTGTAAATATTATTGAAACAGGAAAACATCTCAAAAAGAATTTTATGTTTTAATAGTATTGATATCATCATTAATATTAATTAATAGAAGTAAACTAATAATATAGTTACATCTATGGCAATATTTTCACTCATAGAAAACATAGAAAATTTATACATTCAAGATTAAATCAGAAAGTATCTTAGAAATTAATATATTATAAACAAAGTCAAAAAAATAGATAGTTAAATGTTTGAAATTTTAACCAAAACCAATTAAATGGCCTTAACAATTAATTAATGGTTCTAAAGTATCAATTAATTCCCTTTTAATCATGATAAAGTATCTAATTTCCACAAAATTTTAATTTGCATTTTATAAAAAATGATAATTATATTATATCTAGTGGCTACATATAAAGTAATATTTTCATAGATAGAAACCATAGAAAATATATATATATATGGTTAAAATTTGATATCAAATTATTTTAACAAATAAGAAATTCAATATATTTAATCAATTCCAATAGTTAAATATTATGAAATTTTAACCAAAACCAATTGAATAGTATAAGAAATTAGTTTAAGCTTCTAAATTATCAATTTATTCATGTTTAATCTTGATAAGTATCTAAGTTCAACGATTCGAGACTATTGATTTGTTAGATTAATTAATACAATAATTTATATCATTGTAATGTATTTTATATTATAAAGTAAACAAAATCATATTTTATTATATTTATATATTAAAATAAATATAGTCATTAAATATATTATAATTTTTTTTTTAGAAAATATAAATTAACTTTTATTGAAAATCAACTAAATCTAACTAAATTAATAATGAAATAAATTACAATTAACTGTTTTTCTAGTTTTAGTTTTTAAAAAATAAAATTAAAGTCTAAAAATTCTACTAGTTAAAACAAAAATTATTTTTTGAAAATTATTATAATTGCGCAGGAAGCCTCGTAGTGCATAACTAATATAAGATTCTGAATTTAATAGTATCACACGAGAAGTTAAAATTTTATATAAATAATGCTTCTGTTTTGATATTATAGATGGTAAAAATTTAAATACTAAGAATGTTATTTGTTTGTATTACACATGTGGATAGTCAATCATTTTCTTCTATTTCTGCTATTTGTTAATTGTTTTATTTGAAAAGTCCTTGTAGCGGGGGTAATTGTACGTCCACATGCATGGAACGAGCTAAGTGTCCTATGCCACCTTCACAGGGTAAAGCTATGTTCAGTGACCACATGCACAACTCGCAGGAACCTCTGGATATACATGTCAACACTAGCAAATGCAGATGGAAGCTACATAGTTTAATAGTTAGTTTTCGTCACCATAACAATTTACAATATATCCATATTAAAAGTAGTCCCGCCAAACCTTGGTACGTGGCGACCTGAAATCTTACGTGTTACCTCCAGAGACTTGAAGTAAGCTTAAAAACTGAATTCGAACTGACAAGTAAGACGTTATGGTCATGATGTGCCCTCAGGATTCTTCACCGCTTGGTTCTTCTTTAGTATATCGTGTCTTAATTGCTTGTTCCTTAAGGATACGGTTCAACTATAAATACTAAGACGCTGGGTGTGTAGTTTCTTAATTTCATTTTGCATGCGGCAAAGACTTTGAAGATAATGAATACAAGAGCTTTTGTAGTGTGGTGTGTTTTATTAGCGGCTGTTTTAGCCGCCACGGCGGTTGCTTCCGTCGATGATGCAAAACAAGGTTAGAGTCGTACACAATTGGCTCATTTTCTTCTTTATGCATCTCAATATGATATGTTTGACGATTTTTTTCTCACATTATAAAGCTGGTGCAAACCAAGTAGACGAGTCAAAGTCATCATGTAAGTTTGGGAAATGTGAACATGGTGGAGAGATTTCTTTCGAAGAAGCACATAACGCTAGGAATGAGCTCAACCAAGGTATAGGTGGTGTCGATGAAGTCATTGGCGGGAACGAGGATGAATCCAAATATAACCAAGGTGGACAAAAGGGCGGTGGAGGCCAAGGTGGACAGAAGGGAGGCGGAGGAGGTGGCCAAGGGGGACATAAGGGAGGAGGTGGCCAAGGAAAACAGAAGGGAGGAGGTGGGCAAGGTGGACAGAAGGGAGGCGGAGGAGGTGGCCAAGGAGGACACAAGGTGGTGTGATCCTGAGTAGCTGCTATGAAAAGGGAAGAGAGTCAGAAGGTAACACGTTCTTGATCAGATCCCTAACTGATCAGAACAAGCTGAGATCCACAAAACAGAAACTTGTTGTGGCTAAAGAGATACCAAAGTTTGAGAAGGAATATGGGGATCATTACACACGACCACCAGACCCTATGCAGCATGAGAATCA